CCCCAGAGTTTGGTGGAACATTTTTTCTAAAATAAGCATGCATAGGATTGCAGTTCTGGATTTTAGATACCTCCCCTCATTTTCAGAGGAAAAAGGAACATTATCATAGTAGTTCTAGAGAGGTATGATATTGTATATATTCCCACAGAGGGAAGTTATCTTTCTTCTCTAAGTTACTAACAAAGAGTGTAGCTGTTCATTTACCACCAGATTTATAAAAAAAAAAAAAACCAACCCCCCCCCACCAAGAATTACTTTAAATTTGTTTTTTCTGACAGAGGGGGAGGAGTGATTCTGAATCATATAGTTATGAAAAAAAAATTACTATGGCCAGACTACTGGTCTGGTGAGATTCTGAATACTAGCAACAATAGCATCAGCTTCCTAATTTGCATGTAATGGTATCAGATCACAAGGCAGCTTCAAGGGACTCTCCCCACCTACTCCAGCAACCTGATTCTTTCCCACATGGAAAACCCATGACATCACTCCAGCCCAGGGAAGATGCAAAATAGGAATTAATACCAGATAATTGCTATATGAGAAATCAGAACAGATTACAGAAGAGCCAAAATCTTGCACGCCAGCTATCCAAGTGCTGATATTCCTGCGGATTGGTAATTGCCATATTACCTGGAGATACAGCAAAAGAAGCCTCTTAGAGCAAATGATATATAAACCTCTGACTGATTAATCCATCAGAAGAGACAATCCACAATAGACAAATATGCAACCTTTTCCATACTTGAAATCTACACTTGTAAATTCAGAAACAAAAGTTTTATTTATTTATTTATTTGTCAAACATGTATAAAATAACAGATATAAGTATAAACATGATTATGAATACAGGAAATAGATACAAATAAATGGGGACAGTAGGACAGGGACAGTAGGCACGTTGGTGTGCTTATGCACGCCTCTTACAGACCTCTTAGGAATAGGGTGAGGTCAACAGTAGTCACTCTAAGGTTAAAGTTATGAGGGTTTGGGGATGTAACCACAGAGTCAGGTAATGCATTCCAGGCATTGACCACTCTGTTGCTGAAGTTGTATTTTCTGCAATTAGGTTTAGAGTGGTTTACCTTAAGTTTGTATCTATTGTGTGCTCATGTATTATTGCAGTTGAAGCTGAAGTAGTCATTGACAGGTAGGACGTTGTAGTAGATAACGCTTAGGCCAGACCGAAAGGGGCATAGTTCTAAGTTTTCTAAGCCCAAAATTTCAAGCCTGGTAGCATAAGGTATTCTGTTGTGAACAGAATATCTTATCACACTTCAACTCTAGAAGTATGATTTCAATTGTGCCTTAGTTTCACAAGTTTCATTTCATCCCATGTAAATTTGTACACAAAGAAAAAAAGTAAAAACCACTAGTGATGTTTGTGATATCTCTGAGCAAAACTTTTTATGAATAACACATTTGAGTAAACAATTAGAACAGCAGTTATTGGCAATGAAGTCATCTGTGATACTGCTTGCAAGTGAAAAATTCCCAATCTCAGTTAAACCTTTCAGTTCAACCAGCTTTTCTTTTAAATGATAGAAATTTCATAGTGTAATTTCTCTCTGAAGTACTTTGTGTTGAATACTGTTGACTTTCAGAAAGCAGCTGAATGAGGAAGAAGGCTATTCCACAGAAACTGTGAAAGTAATAAATCTATCATCTCCTTTGGCAAGGAGGGACGACTTGGTGAATCAGAGTAAGGTTGGGAACACTGGGCCACCACAAATGAAGTTAAGTCTTCAAATGCAGTTCAGTTACATCTGAAAATCATGCAGGAGTGTAAGGATGTCCTTTGGGGGCCTTTATGTGATCTTTGAAAAGACATGGGTGAGCTAGTGCCAGAAGACTAGAGAAAGAAAAAAAGATTAGAAAAAAGAAAAGCCAAGAAACTAGAGACAGGTGATTTTCATATTAATAGCACTAGCAATGGCATTTAGACTTTCCGTGTTTCCCCCAAAATAAGACCCTATCTTATATTTTTTTGAACCCCGAAATAAGCGCTTGGCCTTATTTTCGAGGTGGTCTTATTATTTTGGGGCGCATGGAACAAGATGAGGCTCCTCTTGCCTTCTTACTTGATTTCCAGCTCTGCGTTTAAATATTTTCAGTGAGGGCTTATTTTCGGGGGGGGGGGGAAGCTTATTTTAATGTATGCGCTCAAAAGCCTGATTGGGCTTATTATCAGAGGATGTTTTATTTTCGGGGAAACAGGGTATATTCCGCTTCACAGTCCTTTATAGCTCTCTCTAAGCGGTTTACAGAGTCAGCATATTGGCCCCAACAATTTGGATCCTCATTTTACCAACCTCGGAAGGATGGAAGGCTGAATCAACCTTGAGCCTGGTGAGATTCGATTTGCCAAACTGCTGGCAGCCAGTGATCAGCAGAAGAAGCCTACAGTGCTGCATTCTAACCACTATGCTACCACAGCTCATACTTGGCAAAACTCTGGAAATGATAATTAAACAGTCAGTTTGTGAACATGTAGAAAAGAATCCATTGTTTGACCGGAGCCAGCATACGTTTATGAAGAATAAACTATGTTGAACCTATCTGATTTCCTTTTCTTGATAGAAGACCACAGGAATATGGTGGACATAATGTACTTCAAACTTAGCTTCAGCAAAACATTTGATAAACTCCTCCACTAAATTTTGGTAGAGAATATAGTAAAATTAGAACTGGATTACCCTAACATTAACCGAATAAAGATCTGGTTGACCACTGATATCTAATAAATGTATGTCAATGATTCTGCATCAAGATTGAAGGCAGTAACAATGCCATGCCACCAGGCTGCATTCTACACAGAAGGCCCTGCATTGTTCATATTTATCAGTGCCTTGGATGGGGGTTTAAAAACACAATTATCAAGTTTGCAGACAGTACAAAGGCAGGAGGAAAAGTTAACACCTTAGACGAAGTATTAATATTCAGGAGGATCATGATGAGCTGAAAAACTGAGAAACCAACAAGCTGAATTTCAACAGGGAGAAATACAAAGTCCTTCATTTGGATAAGAAAATTTAAGACATGAGTAAACAATTTTAGGGAGCAACTATATATGACAGAACGTTCTGTGTATCTTGGTGGATCACAAGCAGGATATTGAACAATGTGATGCACCTGTGAAAAAGTGAATGCAATTCAAGATAACATCAACAGAAATACAGAGGTCAGGATGAAGAGGAGTCATTAATTCTAATTGGCACTGGTCAGACCAACCTACAATATTTTATCCAGTATCCAGCTTGGCACCTTTATGAAGGGCACTGGCAAACTGGAGCGTGTCCAAAGGATACCAACCAAGATACCATAATAACAGGCCTAGAGTTAAAAAAAACTGATAAGGAATAGTTGGAGGCATTGAATGTTTAACGGCATATAAATCGAACCAATAAATAAATAATAAATAAACCTGAAGAAGAGAAGACCATGGGAAGATATGACAGCTGCTTTTAAGTATTTGAAGGACTGCCAAACAGAAGACAAGAAAAAGTGAGTTTAAATGAGAAGGAAGCAGATTTCATTTGGATATTAGAAATAATTTTCTAATGAGAAACTGTTCAGCACTGGAACATGTTGCCTCAGAAGATAGTAGAATTGCTTTTTCTATAAGTATTTACGCATGGATAGCCATGAAGTAGAAACACTGTAGTAGTGGATTACAGTACTGGCCAGGGGTTAGTCTCCTGGCCAGTATTTATCTCCAAGGTCTCTTCTAATCCTTCCAATCTATTATTAGTCCTTCAGCTTTTGAGGAATAAAGTTTTCTTCACTGTTCTCTTTTCCTATTATGAGGAAGAACTTAAAAAGTTGCTTTTTCAGATACATTTGGCAACCTGGGTTGATGTTTAGAGTATACCTTCCTTTTTACATTTCTCTACTGGGGAGGGGCAGGAGGGAGCAAAATAGAAGACTTTTCCTCTTTGTTCACCAAGGAAATACAGCAATCTTCAAATATATTGCTTTTTTCCTGCTCTGACAGTATGAGTACTCTTCCAAGTATGTTGAGGCTAAAGGTGTCCTTCCCATTAAGCACAGGAATATAAAGAAGATTATGAAGAAGCAACACAAAGAGGGAAGGGCACCAATCATGTGGAGAAGTATATCAGCCTGGATGATCTCAAGGCTGGAAGCTTCTTACACTGGACAAAAATATTGGAAAAGGTTTTCCTCTGGAATAAATTTAATTTTTAAAAAAATCTGATTGTAATTGGGGACCCCAATGTCTACTTTAGTATACCAGTTTTAAAACACCAACTCTGTGGTTCCAGTATCTGTACCTTTTCTTTACATGAAATCAAATATATTTAAATTTCATAAGAAAATACTATATCATATATAAATATCATAAGAAAATGAACAGAAAAGAAAAAACAGATCTTTCAGGCAGGATATTTCAGCATATAAGTTTAACAGAAATGTAAACATTGGCCTCAGCACTTTCCATCTGTTCACTGCTCACTCAGCTACTACCTTTTCAGCTGGGGATAGTTAACAAAGAACTTTGTAGCTGGTACCCATGACAGAGGCCTACTTTAAGTTTGCCATACTTTGGGATGTTTGTTAATTTTCCCCATCTGGAGAAGTAGAAAGTACTTAAATAGATACCTATAGGTATCTATTAAGAAGTCAAGGAAAGAAAAGGGCTGCAATACTTCAACTAGTATCCAGTTCCCCATGGATATCCTTACTTAAAACAGGGCTACAAAAAGTGTAGCATCCGCCAGCATCCTGTCTGCAATCCTCAGAACAGTGGAATACAATTTTTGCGCATTTTAAAACTTTTTTTGAGTTTTTGGAGTGAGTTAGGAAATAATATGGGCGTCTTCTATGCCTTGAAGCTTGTATCTCACTTTCCAAATGGGTATTGATGTTGCCTATTGTTATGAGACCACTCAACATAACATGTAAGAATCTGCAACAATTCTCAAATTGAAAAAAATGTTAGTTCTGTTTCATATCACACATAACAACACCCACTTACTTACCTCAAAACTCTACGCTCTGGCCCAAATTCAGCTTCATAGTAACCATTTTCACAATCCTTTCCAACCAACTGGTGAGGATGCGGCCTATAGGGTTCATTCTTAGTTACCAATGTTATTCTGATTTTTACTTTCCCAAAGTAGTTCAGGATCTAAAAAGAAATGAAACACAAAGCATAAGTATAATGCTATAATTAAGCTCACTGAATGAAACGTTATAAATCGCAATCTTTCCCAGAACCCTTCTGGTACTCTTCTAGAGTGTCAAGTCCTAACTTTGTAACTTTGAATGATATGGATTCTGAAATAAGTGTCCCACTCTTTGTGGGGAGATAGCTCATTCAATCTCACAAGAGAGAAAGAAAATCAAACTTTAGCTTAAAATGAAAAGAGATAATGTAACAATTCATATTTACTTTAAATAGTTACATTCAAAATTACAATAGTGGAACAGATAAAAACATAAGACTTCTCAAATTACAGGGGTGATTACAATAGAAAACTTTCCAGAAAAAAATAACATTCTCAACAGATTTCAAAATGATGTCGATCTGCTTTTACTTAGAAGTAAATAGATGTTGTAAACAAATGGCAGTGTGCATAAAAGCATACAGGGACTGTGGTTGTAGAGAGACAATAACGACTGAGAGAAATGAGAGAAAATATAATAGGAGTTGAAGTATATATGAAGAGGTGTCATATACATTATATATGAAGAGGTGTCATATACATTATCAACTCAGAATGCAAGACATAATATAATGGCTTTATGTTAAGGACAGCAAAAGTACTGAAGGGTGTTACAATTACCAAGTGTAAGGTATTTCCATTATTTCACATAATGGAATTATTACACATCCCTTTATCTGGATGTGTTCAAATGAAACACTTTGATCAGGAATCCTGCACTGACCAAGAGATGCAGTAATACTTTAATGACCTATTCGAATTCTACGATTCTAAGATCTTTCATGTTTTCCAAAATCCTACAACCTTTTAGTTTTGATGTTAAATCAAACAATGTAGCTTGCTTAATTTCATTTTAATCAGTCCTTACGTTTTACAATGAGGTGTTCTGTGTGAACCCAGGGTGCTTTATTCAATAAACCATAGTTTAGTGCAGGGGTCTCCAAACCTTAGCAACTTTAAGACTTGTGGACTTCAACTCCTAGAATTCATCAGCCAGCTTTGCTTTGCTGGTTGAGGAATTCTGGGAGTTGAAGTCCACAAGTCTTAAAGTTGCTATGGGTTGGAGACCCCTGGTTTAGTGTGTTTCCTATCTTATTTCATCAATTAATACACCACATTACCCATACACAGAAGACAGCCCCATTTAAATTAGTGGAGCTTACTCCCAGGCAAGTGGACAAAGAATTAGGACCTGAAGATATAACCCTAAACTGATATATCTGAGGATAAGGTTTACTCAACTGCAAGAGGGTATTTTTCTCAGTAAAAACTCATCAGGGAAGCATCAAACTTATTAACAGAGTACATGTTTTAATGCAGGAGAATCTTGGCTTCAATCTCTGATGGCTTTAGTAGAAAGAAACTGAACAATAGGTAGATGTTATTTCTGTGACTTTTCTCTGCCTAAAACTCTTAAGAGACACTAATTTCAGATCCAAAGTGGCCGCAGAATTTTTTAAGGATTATATGTATTTTTAAAATCAACTTTATTAAATTTCAAAAGTCATATAAAATACAAAATAACAAAAGGCGAAAAAACTGGGGAAAGAAGGATCAAAAAGGGGGAAAAATTAAAAAGTGACAAAAGAAAAGGGGGGGGGGTTGACTTCAAACTTTCTTCAGTACAGATACAAATATATTGTAATCTCTTACAGTAAAGTAACACAAAAAATATAAAAATATACAGCTTAAACAATAAAAATAACATTAAAATTATATAACAAAAGTCCTCTTATTCTAAGTTTAAATTAAGCATAACAATGTCTATTAATAAGAATATAAATGCACAATACTTGTATAATTATAACAAATCTAGTTATTAAATCAAAACTAAAATCAAAACTTCATTTTTATCTTTTTCAAGGAAGAAGTCCAAAAGTGGTCTCCAAACAGAAATAAAACTAGATAGGATAAAGTTTTGCGATCTTTGCTAATTCCCTATAAAAATCTTGGCTTTTCCATTGTTCGACGTTCCTCTTTCTTGTAAAGGAAGCACCCAACAATCATTGCGATAAACATGGTTTTTCTCCTGAGAGTTGTGCTCTTTACTTTGGCAAAATTCCACCACGCAAAGATCAGAATTTCTTCCTGACTCAGTTATCTGATAAACCGAGATTATTGGAAAGTATGTGATACAACCTGTACAGTGGCATTCTCCAATCTAGGCAACACCTAAATACCTTCCCAGCATTCCCCACCTAGCATAGACATACAGTAGCTGAATTTCGGACTCTGTTGTTGTTGTTAGTTGCGAAGTTGTGTCCGACCCATCGCAACCCCATGGACAACGTTCCTCCAGGCCTTCCTGTCCTCTACCATCCTCTGGAGTCCATTTAAGCTCACACCTACTGCTTCAGTGACTCCATCCAGCCACCTCGTTCTCTGTCATCCCCTTCTTCTTTTGCCCTCAATCTTTCCCAGCATTAGGCTCTTCTCCAGTGAGACCTTCCTTTTCATTAGGTGGTCAAAGTATTTCAGTTTCAAATACTTTGGACACTAAAGTCTACCTAATCTAGAGGATCCCTCGATTAGAGGAGAGTGCTGTACAAATCATTACAAATATTATGGCTACAGAGATAGCCCAGGTGCGGTTGGAATGGACATTGTTTCTCCATTTTATTTTTCTGCTGGTGAGATCCAGGAATGGATAAGAAGGCTTGCTATTTGGAGGGTAGCCTAAGAGCAATAGTGTAGAAGCTGGCTAGTCAGGACTTTCATCAGAAATTCAAATGTTTCTGAATGAGTTTTTTTTCCTTCCAGTCAAAGCTATGAAACACTCTGCTGTTTAGGTTAAATGACAGTGACTTTCCTTCCTTGATATACCTATAAGGAAATAAAGTAATAATCCTGAAACTATGCCAACATCCTGACTGGCAATTGTTGGCACTGCTAGACTTTTCCCTCTACACTTAATGAGTGGTTCTTAAGTTTTATCTTTTGGATTCACCTACTGGGATAAACGATCCTATATTCTATTTTAATTGATTCAGAGAGTGAGAGAATAGATTTGTCAATCCTTTACTAGGTTTACTTCAAAAGGCTCACTGTAATCTTTAAATCTTCACAGTCTCAGAGCAGTATACCTGAAGGATAATTCTTCTTTATTATTGAGTTCATGGAAAACAAGAATCATAATGAAAATTGTGCTTTATTTTAGTTATCTGTGGTAGCGCAGTGGTTAGAGTACAGTATTGCAGGCTAATTCTGCTGACTGTCAGGAGTTTGATTCTCACCGACTCAAGATTGACTCAACCTTCCATCCTTCTGTGGTCAGTAAAATGAAGGTCCAAATTGTTGAGGGCAATATGCTGACTCTGTAAACCACTTAGAAAGGGCAGTAAAGCACTATGAAGCAGTATATATGCTATTGCTATTGCTATCATTTGCTGTTGTTGTTGTTACTTGTAGGGTGCCTATCCATTGAAATGGTGCAATATTTCTCAACTTTGAGAACTTTAAGAAGTGTGGACTTCAACTCCCCAGCTAACTCCACACGTTAGCTGGGGAATTCTGGGAATTGAAGACCACACCTATTAAAGTTTCCAAGGCTGAGATACATGGACTAATGTGTGGTGTGGCCATGATTTATTCAATAAAGTATGGTTAAACAAATAACAGCTTACCACAATTTACATGGCCATAGTCCTGAACTCAGAGATCTTTCTTTCCCCTGCAGAACTGCAAAACTTTCTGCTTTCGTTAAGTTGCAAAAAAGCTATAGAACAGTCCCTTTACAACAAGCTTTTTTTCCAATATCATTCTGAGAGTCATCTTTTTAGGGTAGCCTTTTACAATATTCTTTGTATTTATGGGATTGTTGTATAATTTGAATTTCATAACATAAGAGCAGGACAATTGAGAAATCAAATTTAATCTTACCAGCACCTTTCCAATAAATTTTGCCTGAAGAAAGAGGGCCTTAAACAACGTACTGTATTGTACAATTCTTGCCTTTTGAGCAAAGCAATCCCAACTCCCAATTTTTAAAAAAGTTTGGGGTGGGTGAAAGAGCAAGCAGACACAGTAATATGTATACCTGTATAGATGGGAACGTCCTGTTGATATCAGTACTATGTTCACCTGGAATACTGCCTGCTGATCTTCCTTCACATTTGTATCGAAAACGCATCCCTCTCTGTCTAGGTTGCTCATGTATTTCAATATATGGCTCATGACCACCTTTAAAAGGAAAGAAACAATTATAAACATATAATTTAAAACATATGTTATGATAATTAAAGACCTCTAGAAACTGGCTTTTATAAGTGAAGGTGAAACAGGTAATCTGGAAAGCAGATAAGAAAAGTCATGTGAAACATTCACACGACTCTGGAGATTCTCAGTCATCCAGGTCATGGTTGTCCCAAAGGTGCTTTTTCAAAAGGCAAGTGGACTTTTTTTGTTTTTTTGTTCTTTGCTTGAAGATGACCCAAAAAGTTTCTTCAGTATATTCTGCAAGGCAGGGGTGGGTTCTATTTACCTTTACTACCAGTTCGCAACGGGGCCGCGCGCTCTTCTGCGCAAGCGCAGAAGCATTTTCATGATGTCAGGGTCAGTGGGCAGAGCCTCCCGCCGGTTTTATTACCGGTTCTATAGAACCAGTGCGAACCAGGGGCAACCCACCACTGCTGCAAGGGATATAAATTCTTCCTTCTCCACTATTCAGTCAGAACTGAAGAAGTTTCTTGAATGAGAAACGAAATGTCTTCAAGCAAAAAACAAAAAAAGTCCAGTTGCCTTTTGAAAAAGTACCTTTGGGGTAAAACATTCACAGTTTCTATTGATGTTCGTTGATCAGCTCTAGCTGCATTGCCTATAAAACTTCCTATTTGGATTCTGTGGCAGAAATGGCATTTTATTGGGAAAAATTGAAACAAAATTCTGCTGATTATTTTACCGGTATGACCTCAGTTGAAGGTAAATTACTCTGCTGTACAGAGCTTCAAATGCTTAACTCAATATATCAAAACAAACACTGATTCCTGTACTGTCTTTCTTTTTCTCTTGAGATTCATCCATATAGTATAGCCACCTTATCCGGGCTATGAGACAGCTTGTTTATTATTTCTTGAATAGAATAGAATAACAGAGTTGGAAGGGACCTTGGAGGTCTTCTAGACTAACCCCCTGCTTAGGCAAAAAACTCTATACCATTTCAGACAAATGGTTATCCAATCTCTTCTTAAAAACTTCTGGAGGCAAGTTGTTCCACTGATTAATTGTTCTAACTGTCAGGAAATTTCTTCTTAGTTCTAGGTTGCTTCTACATGTCCTAAGGAAATGCCATCACATTGCCAGCCTACTATTGAGGCAGGTTGAAATCAGATCCAGTTGACCAAGCAGAAAAATTGTGTTTTTCTGGAAAACAGAAGAAAACCTCCTATATGAACATTTTATAATATCTTTGAGGATCAATAATTTGTTGAGCTCCAATGGGTCCTTATGACCATCCTCTCCCATTGGGCTGAATGACTCCACATTTATATATCTCCTGATACCGTTGGTCTCTTTTTAACTTCTGCTCTTTGTTGAAAAAAATTGGCTACATTTATCTTCACCCAGGCTCAAGTTTGAAAAAATATTTTCAAAGCCCAAGATCAAGCATGCAAGATCTGAATGCACAGATTACGTGTTTGTGCACAGATTGCCTGTATTTTAGCATTAATTCCACATTGTGAATCCCCAGCATATGTCTGCAGGAGGAACAATTTCCAACTAGAGAGAAAAATAATTCCAAGTTAGCTTATGCAGTTATCTCATACTGAACTAAATGCTAATCTTTAATTATGTTTTCCTAGTTTACTGGTAACATTAATTAACCAAATTGCTGTGGGGCCTTCTGAACAGATTATACTAGATTGTACTTGCCAGCTTCAGCCTACTTAGACCAACTTTGTACACTGAGCAGAAATCAGCACTAAATAACTAGTAGGAATAATGGGAAAAACCCAGATTTGATGGATTTTATGATGCCTTTTTCCAGAAACCTCATAGGCTATCAACAAGAGTTTGCCTTCAGTAGACTTAGAAATAAAGACCTATGTTTTATCAAACACATATTTAGCATTGTCATTCATGGTTTATTTAAGAAGGCATAAATGTCGTTTATTGAATAAACCTAACTATAGTAACTGATGTCAGATTAAGCATGCAGACCACTTTATGGTTTAGCACACAAAAGCTCTAACATACTTTCAACAGAGTATTTTCATACTCTCTACATGCTCTTTATTGCGTAATAGATTTAGACACAGCATTCTCACAATTCACTTATTTGCTCTCTTTCCACTCCTCTCCTGAGTCTTTCTTCTTAGAATACTGCATCCAGTTTTGGTCACCACAATATAAAAAGATATTGAGACTCTGGAAAGAGGGCAGAAAAGAGCAACAAGGATGATTAGAAGGCTGGAGGCTAAAACATATGAAGAACCCAAGAATTGGGTATGATAAGGACCAAGGGTGACATAACAGTGTTCCAATATTTGAAGGACTGTCACAAAGATGAGGCAGGCAAACTATTTTAAAAAACACCTGAAGGCAAGGCAAGAAACAATGGCTGGAAACTAATCAAGGAGAGAAGCAACCTAGAACTAATTAAACAGTGGAAGTGTTTCGCTTCAGAAGTTGTGGGTATTTCATCACTGGAGACTTTTAAGAAGAGACTGGGCAGCCATCTGTCTGAAAATGGTATAAGGTCTTCTGCTAGAGCAGGGCTTGGACTAGATGACTTCCAAGATCCCTCCCAACTCTATGTTCTATGTTCTTCTTGTCTACTGTAAAATAGCTTGGGACTTGTATTACCATTCTACAATTAACACCAAAATTGACATTACAGTATCACTGTTGTTTTCTTTTGCATACATTTATACAATACGGCACTTGAGTTGTAATCAGTAGTGGGTTTCAATTTAATACCGGTTCGCTCATGCGCACGATGCTTCTGCATATGCGTAGAAGCATCCGGGTAGGTGGGCGGAGCTCAGGGGTGAAATCTAAATTTTTTTGCTACCGGTTCTGTGGGCGTGGCTTAATTAGTGGGTGGGGCTTGGTGACTGGGTGGGCGTGGCCAAGTCAATGTCACTTCTTTGCCCTTTTTTAACCTACAAAACACAACACAACACAACTGGCTCACCCACAATGTAAAAGCAGCTGTGCTAAACCCAAAATGGCCCCGCAACAAGCAGGAACCTCACACAGCCACAAAAAGTTCCCCCCAAAACAACTTTCATACTTTACACACACACAACACAACACAACAGGCTCACCCACAATGTAAAAGCAGCTGTGCTAGACCCAAAATGGCCCCGCAACAAGCAGGAACCTCACACAGCCACAAAAAGCCCAAAAAACCAACTTTCACACTTTACATACACAAAATTCCACATACAGCTTTGTGAGATTTTGTGTGTTTGTGTAGTTAGAGTGAAACACTACAGAAACACACTAAATCTCAGACAGCTGCACAAATATTATTTTATTTTATTTTATTTTTATTTTTATATAAAAGCAGCTAAATTTAAAACTTTCTAAACTTTAAATGGCTAGGTCTAAAAAGAGAACAACTAAAAAAAAACCCAATTAACTATTTTTTTTAAAGCTCCCAAAGGGGAAAAAAACTTACCCAATAGAACAGGGGTCTCCAACTTGGCAACTTTAAGACTTGTGGACTTCAACTCCCAGAATTCCTCAGCCAGCTTTGCTGGGAGTTGAAGTCCACAAGTCTTAAAGTTGCAGATAGAGCTGCTCACCAATGAGCTTGACTGCACGCAGGGAGATTCAATTGCTTGCTGATGCAATGGATTGCAGGTATTACAGCGTTGCGACCAGCAGCTAAGGTAAGCAAAGCTGGTGGGGGGGGGGGGGAGAAAAAAAGAAACTTTTTTTCTTTTACATGGCTCTGGCGATCCAAGCTGAGTTGCCTGATTAGTAGGCAACTCAGCTGGGATCGTCAGAGCTTGGATCCTCAGAGCCATTTAAAAGGAAAAAAAGGCTCTGATGATCGCGTGGCTCAGCTGGGCTTGGGGGGGCGGGGGCAGGGATTTTTGCTACCGGTTCTCCGAACTGCCCGCTGCCATTGCTACCTACTCGCCCGAGCCGGTCCGAACCGGGAGCATTTCACCCCCGGCGGAGCCTCCCACCACCGCTATCGGTTCGCCTGATCCAGGGCGAACCGGTAGCAACCCACCACTGGTTGTAATGATTATGATAATACAGTATGGAATCCAGGTCAAGGAATGTTTATGAAAGTGACTCTTAAACATGTCTATTTTTACATTGTCCTAACACTAAATTCTGTGAAGCAGTGCTATTTCAGAGCCTTTTGCTTCATTCTGAATTTGATCATTTATAGGCAGAAGATTAATTGGAAGCATACATGTGCATTCACTAGGAAATTACAAATTTTCCTCAATTTATAAAAATATGAGGACCCTTTACAGCTTTGTTTCAGATGTCAAGTTGAAAATACAGGTTGTCCTCAACTTAGTGACCATTCAAACATATGAGAGCCCTTTAAAAAGTGATTTATGAGTGTCGCAGCATTCCTACAGTAATGTGGTTTAAAAAAAATCAGGTGTGCATTTGCAATAGTTGCAGCATCCCAGAATCAGGTGATTGTCAGGTGTGACATTCCCAAGGGGGCTCCCAACAAAGCAAAGTCAATAGAAGAAGCTACTTTCCCTAATAAAAATATTTTTATTAGGTATAATACCAGCAAGTTATGATAAAGGGACTATATACTTAATGCTACATGCATTAACAATAGCGAGAATTGTATTTGCACAATATTGGAAAAATGAGAACACCCCACCAGATAAAAACATAATTTGGAAAATATTGGACTGTGCAGGGATGGATAGATTGACATTGAAAATAAAGGTAAAGGAGATACAGAGTACTATTCAACGTGGAATAGGTTTTATCTTTTTTTTGGGGGGGGGGGAATAGGTTTTATCAATGGTTAGAGATAAGAGGTAGAAATTAGATTATTATTATATGTAAGTAAAATATGAATGTTGTTTATAATTATAATCATGCTAGTACAATTAATATGATCATAAATAAGCTAATATAAATATAAATATGGTTGTAATTATTACGGGTATTATCATTATTACTATCAGCATATCTGTTATTTTTTTCCCTTTTGTAAAACGAAATGCTCGGACAATACACTGTCT